TGTCTCACACATTTAGAGGAAATGACATCTTTATAGTTGAAATAAAATGGGTATCAAATTTGACATTATATAGCAGTAAAGATCTGTATGTAATAAAAATAAGTTTATATTGTCATGGGTGTTTGTTAATACAGCAATTTGATTAGACTGTACTCTAGTGAATACAGCCAATCAGAGGCCTTGACAGATAATCTGAAAACAGAAGTCATTGCTATATTTATATACAGTATATTATATGTCAGAGTGCATGTATGTTTGTATGTGTTAATAAGCTTATCTATTGCTCTGTGACCTTGGCCAGTGCTTTCATGGAGATTCGTCCAATGAAATCCAAAAAAATCTCTGCATTCCATGATACAAGTAAAGTGGCTATCGCAATCGATAAGTAGGTAGTTATAGTTAAAGTAATAGCTTGACATTGTGAAGATGACATAATTTATATTCTCAAGTTTTGGATCCTCAGAATGGCTTATCATTTCTCCCACACATTAAAGACTATAACATATTTTTACCACCTGCCATGACCAACCAAAACGCTCCTTAATATGGTTTGTTTTGTATACATGAACACACAAACAACACTGACTAATATAATAAGAGTGCAGACAACCATATATGAATGTTCGTAAGAACTTGGTTGAAAAGCTAAAGGAATATTTTGATATTATCTGTAATTCAAGACATAGAGCATATATGTCTTGGTGTGCATAGGCGCCATGTTGAAATTGTAGCAGAATATCCCAAAGGAAGATTCAGCATGTGCCATTTTAAGTCAATGTTTTATATTACTAACACATTGCTAGCATTACGGTAATGTTACATTGAAATGCAGGGTTTGCCAGTTTACAGATTTTTCTAACTTTTTTTGTAAAGAAGATATTTGCATGGTTGTCATGATGGGTATTAAATCACTACATTTAAAAACCTCTGTGGTACAAGCAGGGTGGCTATTGCAGGGTATAAGCTGAAGTTTGTACAAACTTGATATTGTTAGGGTGTGATATAAGAAAGGTGGCTATTGCAGTCAAAGTATAAGACCAAGTTCGTAATAACTTGACATTATGAAGATGTGATACATGAAAGGTGGCTATTGTAGTCAAGGTATAAGACCCAGTTCGTAATAACTTGACATTGTGAAGATGTGATAATGGTCTG